GCAAATGTAGCTCACGTCCTCAATTCCTCAGCTTGTCTCATACTTGAATGTTTCTTGAAATTGGGATCATTTTCAAATAATGTTTATATTTAATGTGGTCATGAAAAACATGAAATCAATGGCATCTCTTACAAGCAAGAATATCTTGCAATTATGTGATTTTAAGAAGTGTTTCTTTAAAAATTAGTTCGTATAATTTGTATGGACATTTAAGTTCTCGTTAGAAAATAGCCAATGCATTCATTCATTCAACAAATAATGGAGTGTTTACAGTGTTGCCTTGGCGACAAGGTGGTAGGTGAACAGCAGTAAACAAAATCGGCAAAAATCCTTGCTTTCAAGCGCCTGCCAGCCAGCACAGCTTCATGCCCTGTGCACTGCCTACCTTGCTTCTCAAATCAGTTGGGTTATTTTAGGGAGAATAAGTACTTTGACCAAAGCCACTCAGTGGTTAAGCGATAGAAGCAGATTCCAACTCAAGCCTGTAAGGCTTTAAACTCTGTGCTCTTTCCTCAAATTACCATAATTGTTGGGCTAAATGAAACTTTCCCACTCCGTCTTGCTGACAGAGCTATCATTACCTGGGCCCTCTCTCTTCCCACCTGCCTCAGCACTGGCTTGAGGACTCAAGTCCGGGAACTGTCAGTAGAAATAGAAAGCATTTCAGTGGATGCCTCAGCCTAGGCTGGTGTGTTTTTAGCAAAAAAAAAAAAAAAAAAAATGCTTTGCCAAGAAGACACATAAAATGTCTAGTCCTCCATTGTTTAGCAGCCCTATGAGATTCACAATCCTAAATTTTGGGAAGGATAGGAAAGAAAAAGAACAAACCATATACTATTCTTGACGTCTGAGAAATAGGTGATTAGAAGCTGCCCCAGATGGGCGCGGTGGCTCACATCTGTAATCCCAGCACCTTGGGAGGCCGAGGTAGGCAAATCATGAAGTCAGGTGTTCGAGACCAGCCTGCCAGCATGGTGAAACCCTGTCTCTACTAAAAATACAAAAAATAAGCTGGGCATGGTGGCAGGCAACTGTAATCCCAGCTACTCAGGAGGCAGAAGTTGCAGTGAGCCGAGATCGCAGCACTGCACTCCAACCTGGGTAACAGTGCGAGACTCTGCCCTAAAAAACAAAACAAAACAAAAAGCTGTCCTAAATGGAGTTCTCTAGAAGCAAAACCTGTGTGTAAGGGAGGAAGCAGGAAAAGTGAAGCAAGGATGTGGTCTCCACTGGAGACTGGCTTCACCCCGATCCCAGGGAGAACTCTGGACCATGAATCATACCACAGTGGTCCCACATGGAAGCAAGGGCGGTGATCTTAAACACCCCTGTGTCACCCAGTGGCTTCATGCTGACTGGAACTATGGTGGATGCATCAGATGAGTTTCACCAATGCAAAGTGGCTGGGAGTACTTCCCCCTTACAAGAAGACAGCTGTGAGCCATTAGTGGCCAACTCCCAGCTTCTGGGGATGGGTCTCCTAAAGGATAGGGGATCTGGGTGAGGCACCAACAGTGTCCCATACAGAAGGCAATTAATTTGGTAGATTGTCAAGTGGTAAGTTTTGCACATAGACAGGAGGCGCCCTTAGACTAGAGATGTTTGTTGAACACAGGGACTTGTTATAAAGGAGCGTTTTGGTTTTTATTTTGTTTTAGGGTGTTAATGTATTCCGTCGGAAAAAAAAAAAATTTTGTTTCTAAGAAAGGCGTCATGGCAGGTGTGCTCTGCAGAGGCTAAGAAGATTCTTATGGAAGTTTTCAAGTTATTAGCAGAAAAAGGGAAAACAATTAGAGATAAAATTGGAAACAATTATCAGAGGCTAGGTTATATAATACCAGCTGAGTCAGAAAAATGATAATGAATTCTTACAGATAGCCTACAGTTTTATTCTAGATTTTTCTAAAAAAGTTTTTCACATTGGTATTTTCCTATAAATATGTTTTTTCCTAACAGTGCTTTGCAGAGAATGTCAGTTCAATAAGTTTTCATTATTCCAGTCAGCTGTGTCTCCTAGTAAAGGAATGAAACAAAGGCAAAGAATGTGAAGCCCTTGAGTTTTGCCGAGTAGCTGTACCTGTGCTTCTGCCAGAGGATACTGACGCTGGATTACATTTGGGAACCAAAACCTAGATCAGCCCTCGAAACTAAGGAACAGCTTGAAGTGTAACAGGAAACACCTCCTTTCATAGATTCTGAGGCACACTCCTTCCACCTCTATATTTTAGCAACTCTGAAATCTGGATACATCTTACGATCAATGACATTCAATTATAACTGGGAACATCTTTTCTTTTCTTTTTTTTTTTTTTTTTTTTTTTTTTTGAGACAGGATCTTGCTCTGTTGCCCAGACTGGAGTGCAGTGGCATGATCTTGACTCATCCCAACCTTCACCTCCCGGGTTCAAGTGATTCTTCTGCCTCAGCCCCCACTGGTAACTGGGATTACAGGTGTCCGCCACCATGCCTGGCTGGTTTTTGTATTTTTAGTGGAGACGGGGTTTCACCATGTTGGCCAGGTTTTTCTCAAACTCCTGACATCAAGCGATCTACCTCAGCCTCCAAAACTGGGATTACAGACATGAGCCACCATACCCAGCTGGAACATTTTTTCTTTCTTAGTGGCATAAAATAGTGTACCTTACTGTGGTGTCAGACCCGTATTGACTTCAATAGGGATGGTACCATGTTCAAGAGGCCAAAGAAGGGACCTGGAGCCAGTGAATGAGACATAAATCCTGTTTACTGAGGGGACTTACATACAGGGAAGTCCAGTGGTGGCAAGCTGCACAGGAGAGCTGCTACTATTTGTAAAAAGCGTGCAGTTTATGTAGATCAGGTGCGTCAGCATTCTTAGGATCTGTTTAAGTTGTTATTGTTATTAGGTGCATCTGCCGTGCCGGATCATTCTCAGGGTATGCTGAAGTAACTTCTATCAGATGTGTCTGCCATGCACTTACAGTCTATAGTATCAGATTCAGTGAAACACAATAGACGGCGTTTACTTTGTTTTGTTATGATATAGTATGATTCTCATATATGTTTGAAGATTAGTTCTTGAATCTTTTGTTGTATTCAGTCTTTCCTCTTTCAGGCACCCATTGGCTCCTTTGGTATTGCTTAGATTACCTTTGCCCAGTGTAGCAAGGTAGCACTCAGACTATGGCTGTAACCATATATTTGCAGGGAAAATTATCAACAGCTATCTTGATGAATAGAAACAGGGAATAGACAGGAAAAGTGCATTTCTTTCATTTCTTCTTCTTCTAGTTTACATTGCAGAGACAGTGTGAATTCTGTGACTGTATCTCTATTGGATGTGTGACAAATGGCAGGCTAAGACTTTAACATATCTTTTTTCTTAAAAATAGGATGGTGGATATATGTCATTCTACATTGGTCAGAATCTATACAATGTACAATATACCAAGATGAGCCCTAATGTAAACTGCATTGCATTAGACACCCTATCCACGATTTTACTTTCCATGGTTACAGTTACCCGAGGTTGACCAAGGTTCAGAAATATTAAATGGAAAGTTCCAGAAATAAACAATCCGTAAGTTTTAAATTGCATGCCATTGCAAGTAGTGTAATGAAATCTGTCATCATCTTGCTTTATCTCTTCCTCATCACAGGAGTACAGTAAGATATTTTGAGAGAAAAATCACATTCATATGACTTATATTGTTATACTTGTTCTGTTTATTGTTGTTAATCTCTTACTGTGCCTAATTTATAAATTAAACTTTATCATAGGTATGTATATATAGGAAAAAACATAGTATATAGAGGGTTTGGTACTATAGATGGTTTCAGGCATACGCTGGGGGTTTTGGAATGTTTCCCCCATGGCTAACAGGAGACTGCTGTCTGGTCTTTAGTAATAGTGTTGTGTCAGTGCAGATTCCTGATTGTAAGACATGTACCACTCTGGTGTGGGATGTTGATAGCAGGGGAGGCTCCGTGTTTGTGGAGGCAAAGGGTGTATAGGAATGCTCTGTACATTCTGCACAGTTTTACTGTGAACCTAAAACTGCCTTCAAAACAGTCTATTTTTAAAAATATATAACTGTACAGAAAGCTGACTCTTCTGCTTAGTTTCCTGTTCCTAATGACAGAGGCAATGTTCTAGAGGCATTTTAGTCAGAAAACTCATTTACCTGGACATCCTTCCCCACTGGTCTGCTGTTATTGATTTGTCTAAGGGGTGGGAAAGTTAGTTTGGCAGTACCATCCTAACAAGGCCTGCAGTACCTAAGAGGGTCTCTCTTGGAGGATGGTTAAAGTGGTCAGGGTATTTTATGACCGTATCTTCCTGCACAACCATTATCCAAAAACATTTCTAAAGTGTTCTTTTCATATTTGTCTGCACAGAGCTCAGGAATGTGTTTCAGGTTAAAATATATAGTAGGAATCAGGTAAACAACATGCATTAATGAAGGATATAATAAATTCCTTCAGTACCCTTTTTCAAAGCATAGAACTCGGTGCCATGAAGGATACATAACATATACACAGTATTTAAGATTACATGTGCACACCTGAACACACACATACACACACACCTTCTTTAAAGAAAAAAGAACCCATCACCTTGATATAAACTGTTAGATTCATTTCCAGAATGCCTGTTGCCATTATGTCGATTCAGCCTTCAAACAAGATTTAACATGTTAAGTTTTTTTTTAAAAATCAACTTTTAATCAAAACTTCTTAGAATTATTTTTCAATATTAGCAAAAGATATTTGTTGGTGTCTTGCTATTATTTTAACCGCAGTGGACGGGTATCTCCATCACAAAAAGAAACTCAAACTGAAGCTGATGTAGAGGAAAATGAAAACCAATCACCTTTATCTAATTACATGATATGTACCCTATAAGCTGCTTAGTGTTTCTATAGAAACATGGTCTGCTGAGTTTTATCTTAGAGGTATGATTCCCCAGAGAAGAGATGACATTTCTGACGCTCTTTGTGGGTTTTTCTCCCCCTTCCCAGGCCTTGAACCGGGGCATTGCTGCTGTCAAGGAGGATGCAGTTGAGATGCTGGCCAGCTACGGGCTGGCCTACTCCCTCATGAAGTTCTTCACGGGTCCCATGAGTGACTTCAAAAATGTGGGCCTGGTGTTTGTGAACAGCAAGCGAGACAGGACCAAAGCCGTCCTGTGTATGGTGGTGGCTGGGGCCATCGCTGCCGTCTTTCACACGCTGATAGGTAAGGCTGCCGACCGCCACTGCTGAATCTAGCTTTGGCAATTTCTTACTCCTTTTCATTGATTTAAATATATTTATTGAGATAAGTGGTTTCTTCACTAATTATCAAATGTTTCTTATGAAATTTCCAGGGATACAGGGAACAGTGCTTGTGCTCCTAGCTTAAGACAATAATGTGTTTTCTCTGGGGAGCTGTAGTTTAGTGTCTCTGATTCCCAAAGTGAAAAGGAGTGATTTCATTAGCAGGTGATTGCATCTAGGAATAACATTTGGTAAGGGCAATAAAATAGCAGGTGCTTTCATTACAGATATGTGTGCATCATTGTACTGGCTCATTGAATTTTAAAAATAAAAATGGAGTGACTGCTGGCCGGGCACGCAGCTCATACCTGTAATCCCAGCACTTTGGGAGGCCAAGGCAGGCAGGTCACAAGGTCAGGAGATCAAGATCATACTGGCCAACATGGTGAAACCCCGTCTTTACTAAAACTACAAAAATTAGCTGGACATGGTGGCACATGCCTGCAATCCCAGCTACTCAGGAGGCTGAGGCAGGAAAATCACTTGCACCAAGGAGTCAGAGGTTGCAGTGAGCTGAGGTCCGGCCACTGCGCTACAGCCTGGCGACAGAGCAAGACTATGTCACACACACACAAAAAATTGGAATGACTGTTATTTAGAATTAATGCTTATTAGCAATGAGAACAAATGACAGATTGTTCTTTTTATTAAATTGATTTGTTCTAGGATCTCATTATTCTATTTTATTCAAAGACAAGACTAAATACTCTTGTCATAGCATTCTTTCCATGAAACAACAGGAAAACTATGTCATGCATACAGTGAATAGCCTCCAGTGTAACCAAGACCTTGGAAACACAACTCTCCTTCCGGGCTGGAGTTCTGCTGCTGCTGCTTTCTTGGTGGGGATAAAACCTTAAGGGCATGATTTCTGAATGGTGGCTTTAAAACAGCTTTGCTTACCTGGCATAAAAATTGAGTGGTATCGCTTGAAGCCAGTTACATAAAACACTGTGAATGACACTTCATAAACCCATTGTGTACCCTGAAATTGTTGCTGATTGTGTAAGACGCCTGACTGTCAGTGGTGAATAAAGGAACCAAAAGATTAACCCAGACCATTTACAGTGTGTTCACACGACAGCTAATGCTTACTCACATAACTGTGAATCTGAAAGTAAATAAGGTAAGGACTTTGTGGTTTTCCTTTTTAATCTGGCATAGAATTCTGTGCTAAGAACAGTGTGGAAGAGAGCGGGTCTGCTGTTAGACCAGACATTCTGCCAAAGCGTTGATATTGATCCTTTAATTTGTGCTCAGAGCCTCAGGGCATGGAGTAAAGAGGAGATGCCTCTCATTTCCTCATTTATGCCCTGAATGCTAAGTGTGGACTGAGGGTTTGCACATTTGAAGTGAATTTCTGCTACATTTGACCTGAACCATTTTCAAAGAGTATGTGTACAGTATTGGGGGGAAAAAGCCATATATTTTTTAAAATAAGGGCTTCCTTAAATAAGCAAGTGAGTTCCCTTTGCTACTAGCTCTTTTTTTACTTGGGCTTCAAAATAATCCAACATTCCAATAATCCATTCTAAATAATCCACCCTATTTAGCCATGGTTGAATGAGACTTTGGGACTAATTATCAGTTGTCAGTAATTCTGGAAGAAAAAAGCTAAGCATCCTGTGTTATTGCAATTGTGGGGAAGAAAATGTGGCCACTGAAATAAAAATCAATGTCATTTTAGTTTTTCAATTTTAAAATAGAATTATAAAATTTTAAATTTAAACCAAAATGGTTCTATATCTCATGTATATTTAATAATCATTTTGTTTTTATACTTTTATAATCACGTCATTTTTCCATCCACCAAACAGATGCTCTCCACAGTTGCTACGAAAGCACATATCAATTTCTTTTGAACATTTGAAAATCAGATTTTCATGACGCACCCTTTTCTAGTGTGTTGGCCCCCTTGCCATTTTCTGCCTAAGTCTTTAGCCGCTCTCTTGCCTCTGCCATCTGCTACATCAGGCACCTTGCTCACCTTTCTGCTTCCTTCCGGTTTTAGTAGTCATGTCAGCTTTTCCTATATCCATATCTTGCCCATTTTTTTTCCCATAATCGTGACCACAAGCTCCGTGATGGGATGTTGCTGTCTCTCCATCCACCCCGCATTCTTACCACCACTTTCCCACATCATTGAACATTTCCCTTCCAATGTCAGTGTCTACTTTATGCATCACCTCTATTGGATGCTTACACCCATTTTCGCTTCCTAGTAATGCTGGAAACAGCTACTTACATTTCTACTTCAGCAGTCGGATCCTGGATAACTATGTGTGTGACAGGGGAACACTGACATAGATGAAACAGAAAAGGAAATACTCCAGTATATTTGACTTGAAAAGCCATTGTATGATTTCAAGCAGTCTTCCTAGTTATATTTGCTTGGGCTGATATTGAAATGAGCATATTTTCCCTACATGTACAGCTCCTGAGTGGGGCCTACAGTAAGTACAGAAAGCCTTGTATTATAAATTCATCATGCTGAATTCAAAGAGTGGGAATATAAAGCAGATACATCTAGGTTTAAACTAATTTCTCTCTATTCCTTTGCGCAGACAAAAGTAGTTGAATTGCCTTCAACATTTCTTTAAGTGCTAGTTTCCCATCACATTAATGAATTTATTTCCTTTTAGCAAGTTCTTCTGATTTTTCTTTTTTCTTTTTCTTTTTAAGACGCGGTTTCACCATGTTGGTCAGGCTGGTCTTGAACTCCTGACCTCAGGTGAGCCACCCACCTTGGCCTCCAAAGTGCTTGGATTACAGGCATGAGCCACCACGCCTGGCCCTGATTTTTCAAAGGCATTTATTTTTGACATGTGAGAGCATAGAGCAGAAAGAGATTATTTTTGGGGGGGGTTGGGACAGGCCTCATGGATTGAGTCATTTCTTAACCATCTCTGAAGGATGAGTTGCATTTCAGTGCCGCCTTTTCTTTTGTTTGTTTGCTTCTTTGTTTTTGAGACAGAATTTTGCTCTGTTGCCCAGGCCAAGAGTGCAGTAGTGTGATCACAGCTCACTGCAACCTTGAACTCCTGGATTTAATCAGTTCTCCACCTCAGCTTGGACTACAGGTGCATGCCACCACATCTGGCTAATTTTTGTATTTTTTGTAAAGATAGGGTTGCCATGTTGCCCAGGCTCATCTTCAATTCCTGAGTTCAAGCGACCTGCCTGCCTGCACCTCCCAAAGTGCTGGGATTACAGGCATGAACCACCACACCCAGCCAGCACAACGCTGTCTAATTTTTCCTTATTTTTGATACAAAATGGAGTCAAGAATTTACCCTGTGCTCTATAGTGAATATTTTGCTATAGCCATCTAAAATGATCCCAACGTGATGGTCTCTTAGACTTTTTTTCCCTTGTCTGGATGAACTTCGACACTTCATACTTTTCAGTATTTACTAATAATTTACCAATCCCTGGAGCGTCTTCTTCACGTAGAAGGGATTTCAAATGTGGCCATTGCCAGCTCTGAAAAAATCAGTTCAAGTGTAGCTTCTTGCTATCACTAACCCAGTGTCCTCTCGGTGCATCGGTTGATGGGTCACAGTAGGATGACTGAGATAAGGTCAGGTCAGAGAGCACTAAAATTAAAATCTCTTTTGTACTGTCATCCCTCATTCATTGGGTTTGCCCCAATAAAGGAAAGAACCTTTTTCTAGTTCCTTTTCATTAGATTTACTGTAGTTAAGGAATTTTTTCCTTGTATTTCTTTTTTTTTTTCCTGTTTTTTGTTTGTGTGTTTGTTTGTTTTCTTTCTGGACCCCACTAGTGAGCTAGGCATTCTCCCATCTTTGAGACCTTGGCGCTCGGTAATGCGTTTCCCCAGACTAGGCTGGGATAGATTCCACTGACCGCTCAGACACTTACCTGGGAATGCTTGATGGAGATTGGGAGGGAAAGATGGCCCCAGAGAATGTGCCCAATAACTTCTCCCACCCAGCCAAACCTTGTGCAATGAGCCCATTGAGCAGACACTTGGAATTGTATTGGATTGACAGAGTTGAAGCCTAGATCATTCACTGGACAAGAGTTACTGTCCATTCTATGCACACCCATAGCCCGGCTCAGGATACCCAAACTGCAGGAGCCTTGGAAGTATTTCTTGACCTTTGTTGAGCAGCTGCAAGTATCTCTTTTTTAGCTTAACTATAGCCATGACTTCTGTCATGGACCCATCTATGAGACACCATTTTTAAAAACTGCATCTTCCTGCTAGATTAAGTTACAAAACAAAAACCAAAAGTACGGAGCCCAGGGTTTGCCACCTGCACACCTTCATTTAGGCTAGTGGTTGCTGTGCATGGAGGACAGCATGCTGACCTTGCATTTGGTTCCATTTGGGTCCAAATTAATTTCACATGCATAGAAATTAGTATTGCCTAACCTCCTAATTCACAAAGATGTCGAAACCACTGCTGTGGATTTTAACTTTCCTTACACGTTTATTCTTAACAGTAACCGGTAAATCACTTGCCGTGTTCTGAAGCCACCTGGGTAGTCAGCAGAATTCAGGGGAACAAACCAGCAGGATCCTGTGCCCCTCCAGCAAGCCACTGGAGTCATTTCTAGACCAGCTCTGTGTGCCAGACTTCTCTTTTCAAACTTTTCCATTATTCATGGGTTATTAACCAGCTCTGTAAAGGGTGAATTAGTAAAATTTGCCATAATTTAAACCAATAAGTGTGCTAGGAGTGAACAGATAGTGTCAGTATAGTTTCACAATTTATTTTGATGTAAAATTCACCCCCATCCTCAGCGGCTCAAAACACAAGCATTTATTTTTGTTCACAAGACCACAGGTTGACTGGGTGGATCTTTGGAACTTGGCTGAGCTCATGCCTCTGTGGCCCGCTGAGGGTCAGGAGGTGGCTCTGCTGACCTTGGCATGCTCCTGGGGGACTGTTA